TTTAGGTCAGAATTATCCTTTAAAACTAAATGTAGGTGGTGTCTACAGTGTCTATTGCTGCCTATTGTTCACAGACTTAAAATGCAGGATATATTGATATCTGTATTTATCTGATATTCTGCAGTTGGTGATCAGTAAATTAAACGATTATTAATTAATAATAATAAAAATGTTGATTCACCAATCAAATTATCCCAAAGTAACTACACATAACTATGACTATGGCATTGTATGTAGTACACAACAGTAACTTTCATAGCAAAAGAACATAAAGAAATAGTTTGAATACCTCAAATTCAGTCAACGTGTTTGGTGTCTTAAGTTTGCATCTTTAGTTTTGCACAGGAGCTTTAAGGCTAATGTAGCTAACAAGCAATAGAAAAGTATACTCCACCAATTAGAATAGCACAAATTGTAGAAAAGTAGAGCATAATTCAGACTAAAACTGTATTTACTAAACTAATAGGCTGAAACAATATTGTCATACAACCTCATCACCACCAAACAGATGTTGGTCGTCCAGCATCCACTGTAGGAGGGGGTTTTTGCAAGTATGGAGACTTTTATGTCCCACTAATGGATTTATGGATATATGTTTACATTTTTAGTATAAAGCTTAGAAATATGGTAACACTTTATCTACAGAAACATTTATAAAGGCTTATTCCAATACACGTCATCTGTCATAGAGGCTGCTTTTGTCAAGCTAACATAGCATGTGAAGTCACATAGATGTGGACCCGGGTGGTATCATGATGCTTTTTTGGGTGAAATGACATAGCAGGTCTGATTATTACTGACATTTTTTTTTTTTTACACATTTTCACATAATCAATGAGTCATTATAATTTATAAGGCATATTTTGGATCAAAACACCAACTGTGTTCATGCTCCACACCTGTGATTTCAATCTTCAAATGTATGAAAAGAAAATACATGAAATAAATGAAAAAATAATTGGAACTGTATTCTCCAAAAGAAATTCTGGTGTTGATTAGTCAGTTTTGTCATTTTTTTCATGCAAATATGTCTGTCTCATATTTCAAATTCGAAAGTGAAGTTTCATGTTGAATTAAAATATTGTCGCTGTCCAAAGAAAGCACATATCTCCATTTTTTCTTCACTTTTTCACAACATTTGAGTGCAGCTGCTGTTGTTTACATTGGGTAAAAAATTCAAGAGGCTTGGACCAATAGAATACTCCAAAAATGATTGGAATTAAATCTCTTCAGCTTAACTTACACTAAGAGTAAAAGATGTTTTTGCCCTCTCCTGTAAAGTTACTATTATGGAGATACTTGTTTTTCTTTGGAAAGTGATGATATATTAGAAGCTGTCTGAAGAAGGTAATGTAACAAAATGTTCTCAATTTAATTTAGATTAAATTTGCCGTAAAGCAAAATTCAGTTCAGAAAAATGAAAATTTGTTCCATTTTATAAAGTCGGGTTTTAGTGTTTTAAGACTATTCATGGTATTTCAATTTCAAAAATATGAGTTCAGTTGATTCACATCTTCAACAGAGAACACACTTAAATATGTCTTTTTTCAGCAAATCTTAACACACAAGTTTGCCAAGTTCAACATATTGGGAAAAAATGAAACATACATGAAAATACAAAATGTGCATAACTTTTGTACAGGTCTTTTTTTTTTGTCATTACGTTAAATTCAGCCAATAAACAGTAAGTGTGCATTAAAATATGTTCTCTGTTGAGGATGTAACCTTATTTTTACTTAGAAATTCTATAAAATGTGTATCTTTTTTGTTTGAAAAACTTGCCTGTAGTTGCAGAGACACCCAGGAACGATTCACTCTCACGGACGACCCAAAAATTGACCAACCATCATTCCAAACATGTAAACCATATTTCTTTATTAAAGATTAAGAAACTCCAAGCAGCATATTCATAAACAAAATAAGAGTCTCCCTCAGGTGTAATGTTACAGACTACACTATGATAGACTTTGCTTGTTTTTTTTTTTTTAACATAATCCTCTTTTCCTCAAATTGGGCGGATGCGGGGGGGTGGGGGGGGGTTATAGGCAGTAAGGCGGTGAAGACCCACATGACCTTACAGCGAGGTTGGACATCCTTGCCTCCACCGACGGCGGTTGAGAGCCACAGGTTGCGTTACACAGTGTATTATGATGTCACTTTGGTTCACATTAGAAACTACTTGGACTTGTACAAAACATACAGGCTACAACCATGATGACTGACGACAGGAAAGCGTGGGTGGGCGGAGCATGGTGACATCACAACGCCCCTCTGAAACCGATCCTTGTTACTTTCCCTCTAAAACGAGTCCTCGCTGTGATTGTAAGGGTTGAATGTGAGGAGAGTGTGGAAAGTCAGTTGGAGTTTCTAGGGGGGAACAAGCGCTGTTATCCTCAACCGCTGTCCGATATTTGGCCCATCGTAAAACGACCGTGATTGTGGACCACCATGGGCTTGTTGTGGCTAAAATAAAACAGTTGTTCACAGCCCAAGGTGGCCTTAGGTAAAAGACAAAAAAGACACATGGAACAGAACACAAGGGAACATGTGCGCAAGATTTTCGTGAACGTCTGTTTTCCGGATCTAGCTACGTGTAATGCAAGGCAGGTAAATATCTCTGGGTGGGGAGAACCTTTTTATAAAGAACGGTCTCATTATGATTCCATCAAAGAGACTCAGTCTCCTGACCTCATAACCACACGATTAATAAGAAAAACAAAATCACATACGTTTCTTACCTTTTATACTTTATATATCTCTACAGAGCTCTGTTCAATAAAACCATAGCATTTCTTAGCAGGTTACTCTGTAAAGGAAAATATCTCTGCATCTGTTACATCTTCAGGTACAGAAAATATGAAAAAATAACATTTTCACAAACTCTGCTAATCAAGCAGCCCTACATCGAGAACTGACATAAAATGAGGTTTATTGGGTGCCTACAGCTTTCTCTCAAAGGATACTTGTGATCAGGGACCTATGACCTCACTGGACGAAGGATGGTGCGCTCTGATCAGGTTTCTTCAAACTGTTACTTCCCATTTTGAATATTCATCTGGGCCACTTTATACAAACCTGTAACACTTTGTTTGAACACATGTTGGGGGCTTTAGTAAGGTCTTATTCTTTGTTCAGTAAAGCCTAAATCAGACAATTCTAAATGGTTTATTAATTTCATTGTTGTCATCTGTATTAGGACATGATTTGAAGTCTGTTATGTCACATAATTGCTTTATCAATTGTAATAACGAACACCTTAATTCATGTCTAATTCATGTCGGTAACATTTTATTCCCATAGGTTCTAGATAGCATCAAGTGGTGCTGAAGTTTATGACAAAAGAGCTAATAACCATTTAATAAAAGTTTAATAACTCATTTATACTTCTGTATGTGCTCCACTTTATAAAGAAGTCATTAGTCATCACTAATTAGAGGCAACTTCCAAACAGTTTATTCACTGTATATTATGTAATCATTAATCTCTTACGTGAAAATCACTAATTGCTTTATTACTTGTAATAATGCACAATAAACACTTTGTAAAGAGCTTGTTATAAAATGACTGAACATGAACAATTTACCTTAGTTCACATTTTATTAATAAATGATAATATTTGGCAACATTTTATTAACATAGAATGCTAGATAGTGTCAGGTGATGCTGGGGTTTATGACAAAAGAGCTAATAAGCACTTAATAAGAGTTTAATAACTCATTGATACTTCTATATTTGCTCTATTATATAAAGTAGTCATTAGTCATCACTAGTTAGAGGCCACTTCCAAACAGTTTATTCACATCATCGTCAACATCTTATTAATGTGTAATTGGCAACATTTTATTCCCATAGGTTCTAGATAACATCAAGTGGTGCTGGAGTTGAATATAACAAAAATAGTTTCATAATAGTTTAATAAGTCATTATAGGGTTTTATTCTTCATTAATTAGAGGCAAAACACATTTAATACCTACGCATTATGTTTGGAATATAATTTGGTTGATAACGTGGGTTGAAACAAATTTATAACATTCCCAGCTTTCATGATTTTGGCTGCCAAAAGTCCATTAAAAGATCTTTATTTTAGAATACAAACACATGTTGTAGCTGCTTAGAGCCCACAGGATTAAAGTTATATACTAATAAAATGTGAATGTACTTACTGTGCAGCAGTACAACTTATAAAGTGATTCTTAATGGTTTTCACTGCGATTTTTCATTTTGAAGGGCTTCATGTACTAGTAAAGGTCAAAATGAATAAAGCTTAATGCACAGTGAATAAACCACTTTATTGCCTGAACAAAGAACAAGAAGTTAATGAACCCCCACTACGTGTTCCTTAAAATAAAGCAGAACCTACGAAACTGATCCTATCAGTCAATTATCAACAGAGAGCTTGATAAAGACGGCAAAATTATCCAGAGTGGAAAAGAAGCAGAGAAAAACAGAACAGCTGAACAATTCAAACAGAGATGAGGTTGAAGAATGACTGAAAAAAAAGAAAAAAAAAAGTGGAAAAAAACACACAAAACAAGAGGGTGCGAAATGATTCATTTTCCTACAGAAGTGTATGATAATCTAGTAACAAACTGTGGAGAGACATCTTTTATTTCGGCACTTAGAAAACAATCACAATGAATTTTGCGTCTTTATCCATAGAGAACAAAATTTACAAAGCCATTCAAACAGTCGTTTTTGGAGTCTTTTTTTAAGTCGTTTTGTTTTGTTTGTTCCTTTTTTTGAGTTTTCATTTTGTTTTTTGTAACTCAACTTCAAAAATTGAGAATATTCAAAATACACTTTTACTCACTTCGCTCTTTTTGTTATTTACAAATATTTACAAGAAGAAGAATCTGTTTTCGCTGATGTATTTTGTATGTGTATTAAAAATCTCTACTCGCCCTCCTTCCTTCTTTTTAACTTTGTTGCTGTTTTTTTTTTTTACACGTGATGCCCCCCACAAGTCTCACGGTCTCGTCCTCACCCTGTCGGGAACAAAAACCAAAAAAGCCTCAGATGGACGTGCTGTGGGTGGGCTCAATGGCTTCTGGGATGGGTCCTCCTGGTACCGGCGGGTAGGACATTGGCATGGGTGTCTTGGCGGGGCTCTGCCGGAAGAGCCCCCCGTTGGGGGCCCTGTGTTTGCATTGGATGGAGGGCATGGTGGAGCTGCTGAGCGGCAGGGGCAGTGTGCTGCCAGGCCCCGGCGCCAGAGTCCGGCCCACCCCATGGGCCTGCTCCGGGAGGAAGGTGCTCACAGACAGAGCTGTGCCCGGGAAGTCCCGGCCAGCCTCCCGTGCCTGGCTGGGCTGCATGCTGCCGATGTCCAGGGCAGAGATCTCGATAGATGGGCCGGGGATCTGCTTGTGCGCCATGTCCTCGTCCATAAGACTGTTCATACGCCGATGCACCTGCTCCAGGTTCACCTCCTTGTCCTGGAGAGGGCGAGAGAAGAGAGAGAGGGGGGAGAGAGGGAGGGACAGAGAGGCTGAGATCGGCTGGTCCTGCTGCACGGCTGTTTTGCTTTCATTTGCTTTTGTTTTCTGAAGCTCCATGCAACTCATTTCATACTCTTGCTGCTTTCGGATTTTTGTTTTTTTAAAGTCCTTAATGAACGGCCAATCGGAATCATCCTGGGCAGGATAAGATTTGATTGAGGGGATGGTATAGAATGTGCACCTTGAAATCAAATTTGGCCAGTGGACGTCTTAAACACGTCTTAAAGCTGAGTGAGGCCTAGCGGTCAGTACAGAATGGGAAACTGAGATAACACTGGAGCCAAACTGCATCGATAATAAAAGCCATAAAATTAACAGGAATTCTCGTGAAGGCCAGGAAAGCAGTACATTTGAGCGGAATGTTCTCCGGGACGTTTTGCCGAATACTAGCATGCACCAGTGATTCCAGAACATGACTTTATGCTTGGTTGCACATCACAAGGACAAGTAGGCATAGATGTCCCTTCTACAATCCATGCATGCAATTCTTTAGCTTATTCTACTATGATTTACCAAGCATTGTGCCTGATTTGAGTAACTAACCTACTCTTATGTACAATTTGATCAGTGGTTCATGATTATTCTTTTGTGGTCAATTCCAAAATGTTGTTGAAGAACTTTTGGTAACGCTTTATTTGAAGATACATTGCATAGGAACCTCATAACACATGCACAAGCATTGAACAACATTAGTAAAAGTGGAAACAACGGTAACACTTGAAGGGTGTCTACATAACACATTCATAACACTTTACATAAACTTCACAACATGTTCATGAATGTTTAAATCAACATTCATTAAGCATACCTGTTTTGCATGACATTAATATGGACTACTGTCATTTTATTGACAGGCCTTTTTCAAAATAAAAGTTGTTTTGTATTATTTTCAGTGAAATGCCTCATTTCTGGAGAGCCAAAATAAAAAAAGACGTTGCTTTACCCCTTTGGTTGTTAAGTGCTTTAACATGCATTTAACATGTTTCACCTGTACTTTCAATTTCTTTTAGGAGCCTATCCCAACAGTCACTTGATGGAAGGCAGGATACTCCCTGGACAGGTCTGAAAATAATAGTTTTTAACAATAAAAAAATGAGGACTTTTATTTTGAAAAAGGTCTGTCAATGACATAGTAGTCCATATTAATGTCATGTAAAACATGTATGCTTTATGAATGTTGATTTAAACACTCATGAACCTGTTATGAAGTGTTAATGTAAGATCTTAAGAATGAGTTATGTAGACACCCTTCAAGTAAAGTGTTACCATGATTCCTTTGTGGTCAGTTCCAAAATGTTATTGAGGAACTTTTGGTAATGCTTTATTACATCGCATAACACATGCATAAGCATTGAATAACATTGAGTAAATGTGCTAAAATATTACTCCAGTAAAATAAATCCCCTGTTTTGTATTTCTACTTGAATGCAAAAGCACATGTACGTAGTATCAAAGGTAAAAGTTCTTTGAGTTATGACTGTTTTGTTGATTACACTGATCAGGCATAACATTATGACCACCTCCTTGTTTCTACGCTCATTGTCCATTTTATCAGCTCCACTTACTATATAGGTGCACTTTGTAGTTCTACAGTTACAGACTGTAGTCCATCTGTTTCTCTGCATACTTTGTTAGCCCCCTTTTACCCTGTACTTCAGTGGTCAGGACCCCCATGGACCCTCACAGAGCAGGTACTATTTGGGTGGTGGATCATTCTCAGCACTGATGTGGTGGTGGTGTGTTAGTGTGTGTTGTGCTGGTACGAGTGGATCAGACACAGCAGTGCTGCTGGAGTTTTTAAACACTGTGTCCACTCACTGTCCACTCTATTAGACACTCCTACCTTGTCAGTCCACCTTGTAGATGTAAAGTCAGAGACGATAGCTCATCTGCTGCTGCACAGTTTGTGTTGGTCATCCTCTAGTCCTTCATCAGTGGTCACATGACGCTGTTGGCTGGATATTTTTGGTTGGTGGACTATTCTCAGTCCAGCAGTGACACTGAGGTGTTTAAAAACTCCAGCAGCACTGCTGTGTCTGATCCACTCAGACCAGCACAACACACACTAACACACCACCACCACATCAGTGTTACTGCAGTGCTGGGAATGATCCACCACCCAAATAGTACCTGCTCTGTGAGGGTCCATGGGGATCCGGACCACTGAAGAACAGGGTAAAAGGGGGCTAACAAAGTATGCAGAGAAACAGATGGACTACAGTCTGTAACTGTAGAACTACAAAGTGCTCCTATATAGTAAGTGGAGCTGATAAAATGGACAATGAGCGTAGAAACAAGGAGGTGGTCATAATGTTATGCCTGATCTGTGTATTTTGATTTATGTTCTGCTAAGGAGAGCCATTTGGCTGCTGGCATGAAAAACCGAGTTAACTGTTCATGTCTGCAGCAACACAGGCCTATTTCTATTTGCACTTAAACTCAAATATAAATACATATATCTGCAAAATTCTCACGTTCCGTTACTTGTGATTGTTGCTTCATAAAAGTGTTGGAAATGAAACAAACATCTGTCACTTAGTTTACAATGCAATGTTATTTACCTTATAAAACCATTTGGCATGAACTTAACATATTTTATTAACATATTGCACTATAAGCATGCTATTCAATGTTTATATACGTATTATAAAGTGTCTATGAAGGTAGCCTTCAAAATATTACCTAATGCTCACTATTTAAATCATTCCACTAAAAGCATCCATTAAAACTGAACCTGCATCATCATGATAATGAATGTGTTGTAACACGCGCGTAGATGCTGACATAATTTGTTTTCTTCTGTACTAAGTAAGTAATGGCTCACAATTGGATCTGGGCATTAAATCACAGCTTTCTGTGTGAGTGTTTAAACGTCACTACTGAGCAGTGCTGGGCAGGACAGGGATAAACAAAACGACGACTCTATTTACACAGAAACCCTTTACAAGAAATTACGCTCTGCTTCTTAATTATTGCACAGGGAGGCGGAACGGCGAGGTAAGAGTTATGACGTTTGCACCTTTCCAGTAAACCAATCGCTTTTATAAAGAACACAAAGGCTACGCAGCTTGACTCCAGTCCATCTGAATCGAGGCGATCGTTTCTGTTACTGTCTCCTTGAGACATGAAAGCATCTTTAAACATTTACACTAAAGCACCACAGAGCCAGAATTACAGAGGCACAGCAGGGAGTAATCAAAACTCAGGGACAGGCAGTGGGAGTTAGACTGGGGATAACAAAGAGACCGAAATGGGGTAAATTAGTCAGCCGTGTCAGGATGAAGCAGATTTTTCATTATGAGGATCGCCGTTATTATGGAATGCACTTCTGATCTAATTCTGTTTGACTTATCTAATGGCAGGAGGAAGGGGATAAGGTGTTCTATTAGCCAAAGACGTACAATACCAGAAAGGTATTTGTTCATACAAGGAACAAGAGAGAAGCGCTGTCTGATGACTCACTACAGTTTTCGGGATTTCACAGACACAGCATCTAATTAAGACCCTGTTTGCTGTGAGGGTGTGGAAAAATACACAGTGCAATATTAAAAAGTACTTGTAATGCTCTTATTAAGTCTTAACAAACCAGTGGACGCTTATTACTGCTTTATTAAGCAAGAACTAGGACCAATTAACACCTTTTCAGGTGTGTTAACTATAAATCTGCATTTTTGCCATAGAATAGAGGGTCAGTTTGTCTTTATTTAGTGCTAATTGGCAATTTACTACTGAAGCACTGATAAGTGTCAAACATCTTTTGTTCATCAAGGTACAAACAATGTAAATGTTCCCTCAAAGATACAACAGTGGTCCAATTGTGCACCATAAGTAAAGTTTTCCCAGGTGAAATGTAGGTATTTAAATACATAATAAAATAAAAGCCTGGAGACGAGACGGGGTGTGTGGAGTCAATACAATTAAAATATAATTTCAAAGGATTATTGCACAATTACGTTCCCTGACTTAAGGTACTGAGATCCCTTGAGGGTACCACCCCAGTGACAAGAGGGGTACTGCCCCAGAGACAGTTTAGTACCTTTATTTCTGAGAATGTATGATGAAACTCAACGTTGGCTAAAGTGGAACTCTTTGCCTTAGAGTAAAGTTTGAGCTAATTGTTGATGTACTATTGCAATATTGATAAGAATCAAAAGAAAACAAAAAACGAGTGTTTTGATTCTGATGAAATGCAGTGTAACTAGTTGAATAAATCATTTATAAGTACACTCCATTTAAACCCAGTGCTCAGGTAAGGGTTGTGTACAAGATTATGATCTACAATTCATAAATAGAAGTGCTCTAGAATAAGCTTAATTCACCACAAGATATTGCTTGATAAAGTAGTAATAATAATATAATATAATGATAATAATAATAAGGTAGTAATTAGTAGCTAGTTAATTACCAGTTACTGACTTAATATGACTTAATAAGTCCGCTACACTGGTGTTACCAAAAAAAGCAGTTTTCTAAAACACCACATTGACTGTGTTTCGTTGGCGGCCATCGGCTTTTCTCCAAATTTTCTTAAGCAATACCTCATGACATATCAGTTAGATGGCACCACACAAATGATCTCAAATGCTGACCAATTTGGACAGCTTCTATGTTCAATCATTAGAAACCCCTATCTCATTAGTCCAGCCTATCTGATGCACAGCTTTTTGTATTAGAAGAGAACAGAATACTTTAATGTCCATTTAATTTACAGAAAATGTAAATTTCTCTTTAGTGCTGGCATATAGAAATAATTTGCAAACAAAACGCAATAAAAATGTAAGTGAAATGTAATTCAGCCCCTAATATGTAGAACAACATGCTCATTGCAAAAAGGAAGGAGAAAAAAATCAATAGTTCTGACCACAGAGCTGCTCTTGGCTGGGTATTTTTAGGTGGTGGACCACTTTTAACCCAGCAGCGAGACTGACGTGTGTATAAACACCAGTGTCTGGTACACCACTGTGCTGAGAATGACCCACCACCTAAATAACATATGATCAACAGCAGTCCTGTGGTCAGAAACTGACCAACGATGAAAGAGATAGAGAGGGGCTCACAAACAGATGGGCTATAATTTGTAAATCGCTGTTGTTGGAAGAAAACCTTGCATCTCCAAAATGGTAACTTTACAGGATAAGAAAAAAACATACTTTGCTTTTAATGTAAGTCAATGGAACCAGACTTTTTTCCCAAGTTATTTTGGGTCGTTTTTTAAGTCCATTCATCATGAAATTTACATACAATGTAAAGGGTAACAGGTGTTTTCAAACTATGTTAGAACTTGAAAAACATCAAAAAATGGAGATACAAGGTTTTCTTCCGACAACAGCAATACATACACCTATATAGAGGAAATATAAGGTAGGTGGAGCTAACAAGGTAGCCAGTGAGTGGACATACAAGGTAGGGGTTTTAATAAAGTGAACAGGCCTAGAACATTACTAATAATTAGCCATTCACCCTTAACACATAAGACGTCTATCAGTGACTTTACCCAATATTTCTGAGCTAGAATATTCAGCATGGATCAGCTATTTGACCTGAACGACTTGTTTTGGTGCTTTGTGCTCGAAGGGCCTGGCCTCCATTTAGCTTAAGCTCCTCATCGACCTAACGCTTCTTAAAATGCATGAAAAAAATACGACCTATCGTGCAGGTCACATTATTGGCACTTTTTTGGGATCCTCTAACAAAGTCGGTCCAGGTGTGTACATCACAATTGGATTTGAAAAGCTTTGGCTGTTGTCTTAGATAACGGCCTTGTTACAATATATTTATAATCTCGTTGCACTAGCAGGGCACTAACCAATTAATCCACATCTGTGTTTAATAATCCAAAATGTAATTTAATTACTGAAAGTTACACTAACTGAAAAGAAAATCTGGCGTGTCATATGGCCGACTAGGGTGGCAACGTAATATTAGATCAGTTTGACTGCAGTCATTTCATCAGTGTATAACCACATCAGCTAAATTCAATCTGGACGTCATGCAGGCCTAAATCCCACCATGAAGAGTGGGAGTCCGGAAAGCGTCCATCTACCGTAAGAGGCAGTGCTTTTTTACAGTCTCTTAGGTTTAAGATGTAAACTAGATGTTAAGTAGTGCAAAATCTACGAGGTACTAGGTAATTATTTTGAGTAGCATGATTTACAAGACAGTTTAACTACATTGCACTGAAAGGTTCTAGGTATAGTTCTAGGTATATCTAGGCAAGTGTGTGGTACAAACTCTAAAGTTCTTTTGAGTAAAATGGGGGTTAGTACAGGTTCTAGCTATTATGCAGAAAAACACAGTATGGTAAAATATCTTAAAATTGTATAATTACTTAGAGTAGCAATGGTAAGTACAACCAAACAAGCACCAAATTTCACTGTAAAATGTCATGTTTAAACAGAAGAGCAAAGTGAAAAATGCCAGTATGTTTGTTTTTACAAGCTTGATACTCCAGGTAATCAATATTTAACTCCACTCTTTATCAGCTTACTGGCTAGAACCTGTTGAGCATTGCACTGTAAATTACTTTGACTGGTCATTATCATTTTACCCAATATAATTCCACAACACTTTGGAGACTGTTCTCCACATATACCCATTGAGTACCTAGAACTCAAACTCACTGGGTAGAACTGTTGGGCGTTGAACTTATTTACAACATCTCAGAAATCACCATCATTTTACCCAAAATAATGAGCTAGAACTTTGGAGTTCGTATCACACACTTGCCCCTTCATACCTAGAACCTAGAAAGCATTACCCTATATTAGAGCAGCTAAGAAGCTGAAAGAAGCCAGGAGGCAAATGATTGATGTTAGATGGTTCCTAGACATTTCTAATGACCCCTCATTTTTTCCCCTCCCACGACCCCGTTCACAGTCGGCCCCTTCGGACAGCACGCAACGTATCAGATCTTACGAGCTCTATTCTGACCTGTGTCAATAGCCTCTGCTTCATCCCAGTCTCTCTCTCTCTCTGTCCAAATGTCCTTCCTCCCCTCCGATGAAGCAGTAGAAATATCATTATATCTCAATGGATCTGAAACCCTTGCCACTCTGTAATCCTTAGTAACCTGCACGAGATCATAAACATATCAAGAAAGAAATAAAATAAAAAATAAAAAAATAGTAAAGAGAAATTCAAACTGGTCACCATTGACATAGAATTGCAATAAGATGTCACACGGTTGCACTGCTGGGTGGGGGTGGGGGTGGGGGGGGGTAAATGACTGTTGGGGGTTCTGATTCAGGCTTATTTTTTGTGGCTCTTATTGCTTGGGGGGTACTAAACACACAGGCCCATGCAAGCATCCTCTTTGCTCACACTTTAGTTTATGGATCCACATCAAGTCTTCCCAGGCTATCGCATGCACTGTTTGCTGTCTCTAGAGCAAGGGGCACGGGTTTGAAAGGCTCAGACTCATCAGAAAGTGAAATGAGAGAGAAGAACCTTTTTTTTGCTGATTTGAACACATGGACAGATCAGCAAAACGGGCATTTTAATTGCCAATGTGAAGTGTCAATAATGAAGATAAAGAAGGTCTTAATGGAACAAAAAAAGGCATATGGAACATTCCTACCGGTGGGGAGTGAAAGTATTGGGCGACCATTCTCAAATCACTTCTTACAGTGAATTAGTTTTTTAGTTATTGGGATTTGAAAGAAGGTTTTTTAGACCCAGTTCATGTAGAATCTGGTGAATGTTACAGTCATATTAGCCAAAATGACTTTATGCTAATTCACTTTGCACCAAGATCCTGAAAAAAGTTGGAAATTACAGATATTGAAGTAGAAAACACAGAATATTCAAATACAGAATTGGAAAATTTTCAAGGGCCCAACAGAATTTAAGCATTTGTTTCAATGTAGTCAGAGCAGATCAGGTACAGAGACCCTAAAATGTTCCCCCAAAACCCAATAACATGCACTGTATTAGTAGTAAAAGCCACTCTGTCTCTGTCCCTGGCTTAGTGTGGGGGGAGGGGGGCATGGATGCGACAAAAACGGAATGACCTGCTCTTGGGTTTTTATCTTTAAAGATGGAAGGGACCAATTTTGATTTCAGCAGAGCACACCTATAACTGAGTGTACTGGAGCTCGACTAAGTCTGGGCTCGCGTCTGCGGCTGGATCCTTAAAGTAGAGTGTGGCAGTGTCGTCGCCCTGCGCGGGCCTCCTGGCCCTGTGCTCGGTCACCTCTTTGGGCTGCTCTTGCCGGCAGCGGTTGCTGCTCCACCACATCTCCAAGGCGGCCACCAGGCAGGCCAGCACCAGCCCGGCGGCCAAGATGCAGAAAACTCCAGCAAAGCTGTGCAGCTTAAGCGAGCGGCCGTCGGGCTGCGACCCCCAGTGGCCGCTCAGGTCGCAGCGGCCCGAGCGAGGCCACCATTTCTGCTTCAGCACATCAAGGTCGCCTTTCTCTTGCAGCTCCAGGATCCTGCGGGGAGGAGGGCAGCAAGAGAAGGGTATTGCGTTGTAGCATGGCAGCAGATGCTCAATGTGCCGGCCTACTAACCAGCAAGGTGAAAAGATCAACCATTGAAGTTTCAGGTTATGACCAGAATTCTGAAAAATGGAACCGGACCAGAACTAGTCTTGTGGCAGTGTTTCTCGCTAAAGCCTTGGACCTTGCACATTCCTCGCACGCTTATGACGTGACTTATGTCATTAGGTAATTATAAAGCCCTGCAGTTGGTGAATCAAGTGTACTTGTGCAGATAAGGCACTATGTAATGCATGGGTTCTCCATTGGTTGGTGGCCCAAGATGAGGTTCCATCTTTCAAAATTTCACCACAACCTTCCACTGCAAAAGCCCATCCAGCTAGTAGAATAAGCTTATATGTAAAAACAAGCTGTGCGACTATGTACCTTACTAGAGGAGGTTTCAGGCCCAGATGCTACTAGACATTAACATTTTGCTTGTTTCCCGTCATCAATCAAAGGTCTTTCATTGAAGCAACACACTGTTCTATTCCTTACTGCAGCCCAACTCTATGAAGGACTATGAAATTGTGAGAGCAATGTTTGATGTACAACATAACACACTCTTTGTCCTCGGGGGACACGATTTGTAACCAGCATTTGGAACCTGACGTGACGGCATTACGCCCCTTAGAAGCATTTAATCCCTCCTCCGGCTTAATTAAATGTCAACTTTTTGTAGTCGCTCACTGACGGAAATGAAAATGAAACAAACAGGAGTGGAATGTAAGGAAATGTTTAATTAGAGGCTTTAGAAAAACAGAGACCCTGACTGCAAGCTGTGCCACCATTATCAGCCTCCGCCCTGTGGGCAAGCCGCGCAGCCGCAGCAATTTCCGGGATGAAAAGAGGCACACGGTAAACCATGGGGGGGAGGAGGTGGGGGGTTGGTAGACAAATGGGAGCAGGATGGGAATGGAGGATGATGATGGGACAGAGATGGGGAAAGTAAGACGAATCCCTCTCTCTACAGAAGATGACATGCTGGTTCATGGGCCTATTAGCCCCCGAGCTGCCTCCTAGCTGTCCCCAAGGGAGTAAGCATGTGGCTTTGGCTGCTCTGGGGGCGCTAGGTGGAAGAACTCCTTTTACATTAATTTAGCATCGGCTTACTCCTCACAAATACTGCCTTATAGTTTATGAGGATGTCTTTATAGGTTTAGTGTGTCCAGGTTGCCAGGTAGAGGGTTTCTAGACATGGCGATGGGCCCTATTATTAATGCTAATATTTAGCCCTAAGACTAAGACTGAGACTAAGACTTTCCATCTTGCTCTATATATCATTTTATTTTGCAATAGTATATCTATATATCTTATTGTGTTTATGTCTTTGGCCTTATTTATCTTTATTTTCTTTTTTGTTTATGTCCTTGCTGTCAATTCTAGAGCTGCTAAATGTTTTTTCATTGGTTTTAAACAATAAATATCTATGTGTCTAGCAAAGCTAGTTGGGGCCAATTAGCGTGATAGTGTTATTCCTCTTAGCAAATTTCCCATTTTTGACTTAATTATTTCTTTTCACAGCAAAAAATGATATCTTGGCAAGTGAAATCATCTTGAATCTAATTGATACCTAATATTTCTAGTTTTGAGAATGTTATAAGAACTTATGTTTACACATATCTACATTGTTTTAAGTCATTCAACAAGTGAAAATGTTTAATTCTATTGAAAAATAATTTGCTTTTTGTCTTGAAATAAGCAAAAAGTCCAGAATTAAGTTAAATAATCTTATTGTATTCTTACAACAATTTCCTAATAAAAAATATCAGACATTTAAACTACGTCTAAGATATTTTCACTTGCCAATCTATATATTTTTTTTCAGTGTAGACCCACTTATTAGTGGCTAACCCAGTCATCTGTGTTACAACCGAATCTATCTATAGCAGCTAAAGTTACAAACTAAGCCAGAGTTCAGAACAGGTGGGAACTAAATAACAGTTTTTGATCAAGTTGTTTTACTTCTGTCTGCCTGCTGAAGATCATGATGTAATCAGACTGGATTACACTATTACATGCAATAATTAATGCCTGACTGGAGTCAAGATCTTAGTTTCCCTTCTCTCCTCTACAGCGCTAATCCTTACTGCTGTAATAAAGCTCACTATTCTTAGCCGCTGTGTCTGGTCATTGCGGACGGTCACAAAAGTGCTCCTTCCAACATTTTGAAGAAGTAATTGGGTAAGAACCTGTGGGGGTTGCATTGACATGCTATAATGGAGAAGTCTGGCGATCATTAAGACTCCGGTGAGGACCTGAGAGAGTTACGTAAGCCTTCGACGAACGGTAATCGCATGCGGTCTGTGTTGCAAGCTGTTGAGTCAGGCTAGGATATTCTGGATGGATCAATACGGAATACGTGAGAAGGCAGTCGAGAGATAAGGGCTGCTCTCCTGGTTCCTCAAATACAGACAGAAGCAATATGATTATGCAGTCTTAATTGGTTACAAGTGATTATGTGGAGATTTGTATAATCTGCCCGCATCTGTTATGTTCGCAAAGGGATCAATTTGTAATGGGTAAAAATCGGACCCATGAAACTGCAACTGATGAAACAAAGCTCTGCACTTAATGAAAAGTGGTGGCAATTTATAAGATATCCATACCTCCCTGTCATGTTCTACCAATTTAACCACTTGATTGAGGTTATTAAGATGCTTGTTGTTTATGAATGCATATTTCGAATGCCGCAAAAGACAGGAATCGTGTGATTGCTTCATCTTCCATCTGTTGCGAAAGTGCTTAAACATTTCTGGCAAAGCTGCAGTTATGCAGTAATTTGCTTGCATTGCACACGTTGTTTTCCACAGCCTTGTAAAACACTCTTCACCAGACCCTGTGCTAAACTCCTCTAAGTCGAATTCTGCTAATTATGATTTTTTTTCTGGGCCACCTGGACAATCAAAGCTATTGTCTATAAGCAGCTAATCTTGTCTGGAGCCCGGAATCTGGAGGTTAGATGTTAAGAATGGAGAAAAGAAGTGGGAGGAATGAAAGAAGGCATCAATGGTATAGTAATGCTGGCCGGGTAGATATTTACTTCTGAGAGAAGAGGTCTCTGTAAGGGCTGCCGTGCTGCAAGGCAATTCCGTAGCCCTTACTGCTCATGCTGTTGCCCGATACGGTGACGGTGCAGTCATCGTCCGTCAGTGCCGCATACTCCACCACCGCCATGTCCCACAGGAAGGCATATGGGCCTTTCTTTGCCTGTGGAATGAGACAACAAGCTGTTAATGCTATTATTAGCCAAGAATATGCTAAACATTTATTGGGGATTTTCATTCATTTTTCAAAATTTCAGCACTTTCAAAGGTTAAGATGTTAACAAAGTTATTCAGAGTGCTTTGATATGAAATTATCTCTTCTAGAGAAACTTTAACACAGTTGTTAACATGCATGGTAAAAGGAACCAGACCAGAAGCTACAGTGCTAAAAGCTATAGCAAAATTTAGGAACCAGCTTTTGTTTCTTTAATTTCCAGTCAATATGGCCATTATGTACAGTTTATTCATTTTTCAGCAAAGCGCAAAACATATTTAACAGAAAATTTACACATAATTAGCTGAACATAACATTGTTTTTAAGTATTTAGTCGTTCCACACATTGCTTTTTAATTCAGCTTCTTTTCAGGAGAATTGCTTTCAGTTTTTCAAACAAATCTGCAGGGAAATTTTTTCCTTTTCCAGTTCAGTCTTACAAGTTTGTTACATGTGCTTCTCACAGTCCGACTAACGCCGATTAAGGGTGGGCGGATCGATCCAAATATCGATTCCAACGTTGGTATTGGTATCGGATCGATACTAGCATGATGGGATTGATACTTCTCTCCTGTACGTTCAGTACGCTGCTCTCATTTCATCAAAAAGTAGACATGTCTGTGCAAATACTGCTCCTTTCACATCTTGCATGCACACTTTGTTCCTCCTCCCCTGCTGTTTTGTTGTCGTGCTGTCACGTGACGCAGCGGTGCTAAGAGCGACACTTGTAGGCTGCAGTCATTAGCAGAGAGAAAGAGGAGCATCGTGTGGAGATATTTTATGGCTGTAAATGAAAACCTTGCAAACCGTGATGTGTGTAAGAAGGATATTCTCCACCAATTTATGCAAACAAATGAAAAAACAGGAAACAGAGCTGCAAAGAAATGAAGAGAGGAGGAGAGAAATCCCTCAGACAGACCTAGCAATAGAGTCAGAGGTCACTGGCCTTTCAGAGAGGCAAAGATTATCCAGGAAGCTTATATAGTGGTATATTATATTACTGTTCCTGAACAAAATCCTCGAACTGAAAAATAATTTAAGTTTTAAAACATTTTGTTCTCCAGGAATAATTTTGTTAAAAACTCAAAAAAAGCCAGAGAAGTGCAATGAAAGAGAGAAACGGGTTTCTTATTATTTCATTAGAAGACCACAGGCCAAAGGAAAGAAAAATATTTTACAACATTCTTTGTTTTCCAGTAGTAAATTTGTGCAGAATTCATGTTTGCAAATTAAGTTCATTACAGTAATAAAAAAATATTTTTTTATTTGCCTAAAAACTTTGATGCCCTGGGTTTAAACATGAACATGATTAACCAATTAACAGTGAAAAGCAAAAAAAACACTTAGTGGTCATCAAAGTGTATTCAGATTTAGCATATTGATGATAGATTCAACTCATAAATCATGACACATTGCTCTCCCCTACATGAAAGTACATAAGCTGCTTTTATAAGTAGAAAGTATCGGTATCGGTGTCGGTATCGGTATACTAGCCCTATATTTACTTGGTATCGGATCGATACCATATTTTGCAGTATCGCACATCACTAATGCCATTCAGAAATCATGCCAATCTTACTCCACATTTCATAGGTCCGGTGTTCTAGAGGAAATCTTCTTCTTATTTGGCTGTTATCTTTTCTCAGTGAGGCTTCCTGATAGCTACATATCATGTTGAGTTGTCTTCTCAAAGTGGAAGGATAGACGTGAATGTTTTCAGATATGAAGCAAGAGTGGAAATTGATTTTCTCTTCTCTCTCAAAGATGAAAGCTTTAAGCATTCTTTATCTGATGGGGACAGTTTGGTGGTCTACTAGGTCTTGTTAGGAGTCCCATTTTCTCTATATCTTTCCTGATACTTCTGGGGTTTTTTTTCACTTATATTTCTTTGGCTTTCTCCTTCCTTATGCAGGTGGATCATTTAATATCTAATCTCCCGACAAATGAATAACATTACAGAAAGTCATTGCAAAAGTCAGAGTGAAGGGGTACGTGAGGCATTGTTCTAAAGCAAATTTGCATGCAAAGTTGCACCATGCATGCTGAACCCCCCACCCCTGTTAACCGGACATTTGTTGTACTGTTGCTGTTTGTTCGTTAGTTACAGATGTGTGTATCTGTTGACTCTGTGTTATTGTGTTGGAATGTGAGGTAGTATGTTAGTGTGGGGGTGTATCTGCACCAAAGAGAAGAGTTATATGGCTAGAAGTGACATTCCTCCTATTACAGCTGTTTTTCAGCAGCGCTGGGCTGGCAGTTTTTCCCTTGCTGCCTGTTCAATAAAAGAGCATTTGCCTGCAAGTGCAATGCCTCTTGCCTCTTCTTCTATGCCAACATCACACTATTATCAATATCACATATAATTACTCAGAAAACATGTTTGTTTGACTTTGGATAGTAAATAAAATTGCTATATTTGCATTGTTGACATTGGCAATGTGTGGATCCGTTAAATACTGAAAAAAGTAATATTGTAATTTTCTATTATGTATATGTTTTCAAATTTTTTCCTGATGCTGAGAAATGAATAATCTGTACATAATGGCCACATTTACTGGAAATGAAATAAACAAAGGTTGGTCTCTGACTTTTGCTACTAGTGCTTTTAGCACTGTAGCTTTTAGAGGTGTTAAACTTTTCAGATGTCTGGTTCCTATCACCACCACTATAAAAAAAAATCTGAGTTAGTTGTCCCACAGTGCACCACAATAAACCACTCTGAATGACTTTGTTTACACCTCAACAACTTGACTCTGCAGAACTTTTGAAAAGTGTGGCTTTAACAGCACTTATAAGTAATGCAAGCTAGCCGAGCCAGTTAGCATCACTAAACATCGAACGCAACATGGAAGTGAAGGGGGATAAATTATGGAGCCCTTTTTATGAATGTGCTGATCTTAGAAGCAAAACATTTCACTGCTGCCTCTGGAATGAAATGATTCCCAACAGTCGCATTCTCAGAGCACGTTTTCTACGCTACTGAAGGAGACCTTTATAGTAATTACAGTACAGGGTTTCAACCATTAGGACTGAGGTGGTGAAGTACGACTTAAGCAATTAACCTATCATGCTGGTGGTTGGAGGAAAAAGTGATCTCATGCAAGAAATCCGTTACACTGCAGTAGCTCTCAGATCAGAAAACTCTGTTTAGGCTTCCATTACTCAAGCTCATTATCCATTACAAGAAAACAGTTTTTCCTTGTGTTTGTCATCAAAAACTCTTTTGTTTTCTCTTTCGTTCGCTTGAACAAAGAGCACAACTACCCATTGTTTGAATCAAAAGCAGCTGTTGTCACATTAGTGGCCTGTATGTGAGGAAAGAAACGTTTTGTGCGAAACGGAAAAGGTGGCGAGACGAGCAGCACGACTGATTCTGCACTGAATTCTTAACATTCGCAAAGCTCAGTAAAAGTTCCGGCAGTCGTTGAAAAACAAACTGCTTAAAAATGATTACAGTCATTAAAATGCTGAAACTGTTCCTCACAATAATTGCCGTCAGAAGTTTGTTAAACAATGTGCGTCTGAGAAATGCGTCTTGTTCTTGTTTTTGTGGAGATTAACCAGTCTGCAGATTAACCTGTATAATTGACCGAGCTAGCATGCTACTCCAAGTTTTGAGTCACCGAATTTATTTGCTTAGGAGAACAGAATATTTGTTTGTTCAGACCTCATAACAGAGTTGTTAGAAGGGAGCCAGAGCAAATACATCCTAATCTTCTGACTCACTGATGCTGGCATCCATCATGCAGGTTAATGTAGATATAACAACAGTGACAACAAGCTGCTTTTCACTCTGTATAATGGTTCTGCATTAGAAAATTATCCAACAATACAGTTGCTGCTGTAGGAGGGGTCCTGAGGCTTGGTGCCCCACATGAAAATGAAGCATTCTATTGCACTCTGAGAATAAAATACAAGGACTTTTGCTAGAATGATTTAATTCACTGATCTGAGTTATAATGCCAACACAAGTCATGTGGAAGATTGTACTGCTTTCTAAGCATTTTGACTCATTATTAAACTATTGCTTACCATGCCAAGATCAAACAATCAATCTCCATATGAAACCCCTTCTTAACAGGTATTATAAACAGAGGCCATTCTAAAAAGTCTGATTACCACTTGAATTCTATTTGCTAAAAGTTTTATACTGGCTCCAAAAGGCATGTGATGCTTGGACCCCAAAGATTGCCGTTTGCAATGTAATTTGTAAACCAGCGTGCCTGGAGAGCCAGTGTCTTGCACAGTTTGGTGATTTTCTGGCTTAGACACACCTGATTCAACACAGCAGCTAATTTTCAGACTCCCTGTTGTAAACTGTCATGACAGTCCACAGAAATCAACACACTCTACATAAGATATGATTGTCTTGTTTGCAAATGATGATATTTTATATATATTAATCTTTTGAACTTTTGTTAAAAACTATTGAAAAAAGGAGTCGGAATATGCCAGTGAGGTTTTCTTCCAACAACAGCGAGAAATATATATATATATATATATATATATATATATATATATATATCGCTGTTGATGGAAGTAAACCTTGCATTTCCAAAATGGTAACTTTTCAGGAGAAGGAAAAAACATACTTCTAATTGAAGTCAATGGAAGCAAACTTTTTTCCAAGTAATTTTGAGCCATTTCTTTTGGTCCATTCATCATGAAATTTAAATTTACACAGAATATAAAAGGCAACATGCATTTTCAAATTATGTCAAAAACTGAAAAAAACACTGAAATGTTGTTCTTCCAACAACACGAATATATATATATATATATATTGGCAACATCCATTACGACGAGGAAAAGAGGATTCTTCATTATCTTGTTGGCAGCAGGACTCATCCCCCTACCCCAAAACCTCTTCAAGTCAACTCGATTCATGGAAGTGACATATTCATCACTGAAATGGGTGAATTGGTGCGTTTGCATGTATGCATTCATAGGGTCACTGTAGTTGACTTCTACCATGCTCCATCAGATGTCTTCACTATAACCATATCATCTCGCCACAAGTTGACCAACCATGTAGATTTAACGTGAAAAAAGACAGGCAGTGTTTTGGCGATACTGTGGTTCTCACTTTTAAGCCACACAGCATACCTTGCGGATGCCCTCTGATGGGCTGGAAACAGAATAGTCCTGGCCATTATTCTTGCTGATAGTCCTCCACAGCTCTGCATAAGTGCTGTCCTGCTCCAGGGGGTTGGTACCTTTGGCTCGGAAGTAGTCGTACACTGCTGAGTCCCGCACTGTGCCATAATCCAAGTCCATTTGTCTCGCCAAGTCCTGAAAAGTCCTGCAAGACAGACAAAAAGTGGAAAAATGGGTCAAAACAGTTGGATGAAGCTTGTTACCACAATGCTACCACTTATGCTTGGCCATAGTAGCTCAGCTGGAAAAAAGAGCAGCTAAGATGAAGGCCAAGGCCTCGTGGTGGCGGTGGTGTTGAAGACCAGGGGAAGAATGGCAGCGTGCAGTGTGAAGGTTTTCATATGGCAGATAGACTACAGCACACGATGACCTTTCAAAACCAGCACACAGAGTGAATGCAAAGCTAAAAAGATCAAGATGTTTTTATTCATTTATTCATCCTTTCCTTCTTCCTTTCTGCTGTCTACTGAATGACCATTCTTGCAATAGAAAGAAACCTTCAAAAATTGGGTTAGCACTGGATTAATGACCTCCAATCTAATTTCCACCTGCATAGAATACTGACAAGTCTGGCTGCAAAGTTTTTGACACAGTAAAGCTTTTTAATATTTTTGTGCCTTGCTTTCTTTTTTTCTAATGGAGAGATTTTTTTTAGCTAAAATATTTTATTGATTTTAGTTCAAACATGCTGTAAATTTAAATTAAATTTGAGCTTAAGGACTGAATGGCAGATGTACGTCTATTTGCTGCTTGTTTAGTTTTCTCTATCTCAATAAATGTGGCAGACATGGCAGTCCGAAAATGGATTGATTAACATAATTAATAAAATAGAAAGTTGAATCAACTCAAAAAGATCCAAACAAACTGTCACCTTTTTTTAAAAGTAATTCTAACACCAAATTTTTACAGTGAAAAACTTTTTTAAAACTTTTTTTTAGTGTTTAACTTTTCTTTTTACTTACAGTGACATCTGATTATCTGATGTGCTATGTCATTCCTGTATACACCCACTTTATTCGGTACACCTGCCTTGTATCGGCACTCATTGTCCATCTTATTAGGTCCAGTTACCATATAGGAACACTTAGTAGTTCTACAATTACAGACTGTAGTCCATCTATTTCTCTGCATAGTTTGTTAGCCCCCTTTCACCCTGTTCTTCAATGGTAAGAACCCCCACAGGACCCTACCAGAGCAGGTATTATTTGTGGATCATTCTCAGCACTGCAGTAACACTGACATGGTAGGTATACTTATAAGTAGCCAGAGAGTACACTCCTGGGCAAAAACAAAATGCGCCAAGCCCAAAATATAATGGGTTTTACTAATTGGTTTTGGCTGGTCCAAGTCCAAATTTAAACCCTATAGAGAATATTGGGTCTCACATTAAACACAAACTAGCTCGGCAATGTTTTTCAACTGTTTGAAACCACCAATATTGAGCCTTGGTTCCTCCCAAGGTTTCTTCCCCGGCTGTGAGGGAGTTCTTCCTTGCCATTGTCACCCCTGGCTTGCTCACCTGGAGGATTTACATTTCATGTTAAAGCTTTGTCTTTAATGGATTTCTGTGAAGCTGCTTTGTGACAACATCAGTTGTAAAAAGCGCTATACAAATAAATTTGACTTGACTTGACTTCACCAATATTGAGTGGAAAAATACTGACTATTCTTTCTGTAAAAGGTTGTCTGCAAAGTTGCACACAAAACAGAAGTGTTATCCAATATTAAGTTACTTTATCTATTTGTATAATGATTTGTTGTTAAGACTATTAATAGCTTAATGTTTCGCCATTTCAAGCTTGGCCCTATTATTTATGTTGCCCAGCAATGTACATGTTGTCACTATTACAAGATGTTCTTTAGAAATCTACACAGGTTACTTGTAGTATGCTGTATGCATCCTCTCTCATATGTAGAAACAGTGGACAGAATGGAGTCAAGTGCTCCAATATGAGTCTTGTCTACAGTGATGATAAGTCAGCTGAGTTTATAACACAGAGACAGCTTAAAGTGCCCATTAAGATCCGGCTGATCTAATTTAAGTTTGATGAAGGCATGCCTCATGAAGGAAATGTGAATATATCAAACACAACCATGCTATGTGTAGGGTAGATAAGGTTAAACGTAGGTTAGAGGTAAGACAGTTAACCCCTTACATGGCCAGGGCCAAAGTTTTATTACACACATCTATAAACTAAGAATAGCTCAACCAGTTTGCATTTAAGTCCTTGCAGTTACTGAATAATAAGCCATAGTATGTAATAGGCCTGAGAGTTTAAGGGGTTAAGGTTACGGGCAGCTAAATTTGGGGTAGGTCTATGTTATCTGTGGTGTAGTTAGGGTAGGTGGAGGTTATGTGCAGGGTAGGTCAAGTTGGGGAAAGGAGTAGGGGTAGGTAAAGGGTAAAATAGTTAAGGTTAGGGTAGATGTATGGGAAGATAAGTGTAGTTAAGTGTAGGGTAAGTTATTTGTAGGATAGTTAAGGTCAGGGGTAGATGTATTGGTAGACATGTAGGGCAGTTGAGGTTAATGGTTGGAAGTAGGGGTAGTTGTGGGTAGAGTAGTTAAACGTAGGGGCAGGTGTAGGGTAATTGAGGAATAGGAATTTAGGAATAGGTTGCAGCAGCATTGATGTATTCATCTACAGTTGTATGTGCACCAGACTCTATGTTATGTAACCCATAAGATTCCACTCAGACTCTAGCAAAATTGTCTAGGGTCCAGATCCCACTGCTCAACTCTTGATGAGCTGAATCCAGACCAGGCACAATCTCTAGCCCTCCTCACGTCGTGTCCAGATTTGGATTCGGAGGGTAACAGACAGGCCTGACTCATGCAGCATTGATCAACAGGACATGAAACAAAGTCACACACGAGTGAAGCAACAAAGAAGGGTTTTGACCTTATCTGCACTCAAAACAAGACAGTCCCCGTCTACTATATCAGTATCTGTTTCTGTGGTTCTGTATGTGCTCAGCATATTTGTATCCATATTTAGAAAGCAGCAGAGCTATTTAGATACATAGATAGCAGTAGATTATGCAGTCGCCACTGTCTCTAATGATTTCTAATGGTATTAAGCAGGCATTAAGTAAATGGAATTAATTCCATGTGCATGTTTGCCACCTACCATGACTTTCCAACACAGCAGAGTGTTTTCCTACTTGTCACTAACTGGCAGTATTTAACTCCATGGTGGCTTTTTAAACGTTACTGTAGAGTATGTTTCCCTTTCAAGAAGATAGGGACTAGATAGGGACTCTTAAGGCCTCAGCAGAGGGGCAGCTCTGAATTTAGAGTTATCGACGGACCACCCTGTCTTCCTGTTGCACTGTGAATAGTATAACCCACTTGGCATGAACTGAATTTTAAACTGTTCAGTACGCCTAATGGGACCGCTCATACATTTCTCCAAAATTCGTGGAAAGCAGCATGATTAGGCCGCCGCGGGGCCCATTCTCCAAAACAGCACCTCCATCAATAAAACAGGAGAACGACGGGAGAGAGCAGCACCATTCACGCTGCAGAACAGCCTAAACATCCTGGAGAGCGAGGGGGGAAAAAAGCTCCAGCAATTAAGGCTGAAACGAGATGAACGGCACATTAGCTCCATGCAAATGGCGGTGCGTGTCGGCCGGCAGAGGTGAGAGAGAAAAAAGAGGCCGGGTGTCCTGCTGAGGTTTTCACATTGTCTGAAATTCATTGGATGAAACAAAGAACAAGTGATTTTAAACAAGTGCAATTAAACAAAGAAATAGTGCAAGTTATACAAAGCCTTTTTAAAGAGCTAAAGAGTGCAATACAAGGAGATAGCTGGCCACTGTTCTCCCACTGAGAGAACAGTCAAAGCCAGAGAGGAGACTGTGGAGCCGGGCTGGGCCACTGCCTACTGGAGAACACGCCTGAGCTGCCCCAGATTAGCCGAGCGCTCTCCAGCGTTCTGAAAAGGTCTCGTGCTGGCATTTTAGCACCCTGGAGAGCGCTCGGTTGTTCTCAGGCATGTTTTCCAGTAGGCGGCAGCCCGGCCTATTGCCACAGTCTCCCATCTGGGCTTGCGCTATTTTGCACCAGCCAAGAGCCAACCAAAGGCAGAGCTTCACAACTATCCATGGTGAGCGCCTCTTCTCTTCATAGGGTGCAAAGTTGAAATGCTACCAAACCAAGGCTGAGCTGCAGCTGCACCTCGAGCTTCCAGACTCCTCCTACACTTCTCAACACTGTTTGCACTTTTATGTGGTTGTATTCAGCCCAGCAATGACCCACAGTCAAACTCCTGGACAAGTCCGTCTGGCCAACAGATGTGCGGTAGAGAAAACAACCAACAAATCAAGTCAATACATGCACACACAAAATCATTTCTGTAGCGAGAACTGTACACGTCTTTATAAATGTCTGTGTGGGTTTAGGTCAGCTGTCATGACAAGCTTATGTAAGTGTCATGTAGCCTTATGAACACTGCCCTACAGCAAAGTTTTAGCATAAATACATTTTTACATTAAAAATAAATGAATAAATGGCCCAACAAGAGTATCTATCTATCTTTGAATGTTTTTAATTATATTTACAGTTTTGTTTACCTAAAATAGCCATATGAAATTGTAAACCTAGCTGAAGCAAGAATTAATTAGGTAATAATTAAGACCCTGGAAGGCTTAACCCCTTAAAATCCCAGTCTTATAACACACTAAGTCTTATTATTCAGTAAATACCAGGACTTCTATGCAAAGTAGCTGAGCTATTCTTAGGTTATAGAAGTGTGTAATGTGTGTAACTTTGGGCCCTGGCCTTCTAAGTTGTTAAATTACCATGAAGGATAAAGTTAAATCACAAAAATGCCTTTGTGTACAACACATTAAAAACACAGCACTCAAAGCACAGTGTTTTTTTAGCACTGACTAGTTCGAAAATGCAGTTACTGAAAAAGTTTGCTGTTCATTTTCGAACACTAGGCACAGGAACTGCGAAAGCCATAGACACCAGGCATATATATCAGCACTAGTTTATTGAAAGCCATACAGAAGGTTGTCTAGCCATTTTCTTGTATAGTCAGCTTTTACCTGAGCAGAGCACATCTCTCTGAAGCACTGGAGAAAACTACACTCTAAGAAAGACTTTTATTTTAGTCATTGTCCTTAATAACATCATCTAGTGACTGAGCTTGGTTACAAATTCACAGGAAACAGGCCATAAACAAAAGGTTTACATGGTAATAGCTGGTTCAAGAGAACTTAGGTAGGATGCGGAAATCCCTGTTAAGAATAATGTCCATTTACTGTAAATCTAAACATGAAAATGTAAGTTTAGCATGTATAGAAAGATGATGGAGAAATCTATACACAGTTAGGGGAAATCAATTTTGTTGCTATAGCACACAAAGCAAAATCTGCAGAGAGACATTTTGCCCCACTATCAGTGCAAAACATCCTCTTGTCTGAGAAAAGAAGCCCTCAGTGCATCAGCTTGTCACAATGTATTATTTATGTGTAAAATAATTTCTAGGCTTTTATTATCAGAGGGCAAGATTAACAATATTATGTCATTAAAAGAGATTAATGCCTTTATCAATTTGTGTTAATGATTAATGATTAACAAACTATGACAAGACAAATTACAGAAAAACAAACATATGCCATGTCAATATTTTATTAAATGAACAATGATTACATAGCTATTAAATAGTTATGAATATTTCATTAAGATCATGATTAAGCTCTAACTAAATAATAATTTAGGGCAATACGCTTCTGAGGGTCTTTTACCTAAAAATGAAGGGGCTCCTTGCATAAATGGTCTAACTTTACATTTTCACAACAAAATAAGTCAAATCAAAAATTTCTTTTAAAGACAAATATATTGCTCTCTCCATATTTATTATATATAATATAATAATATTATATACCTATATACCTATATTTATTATTCAACTCAATTAAATATAAATGCTTAGATCACAGACGTCACTTCAGTGTGAAAAACTGGACAGACCAATTGGCCCCAAAAGGTTTCCGAAGGATTAAATCTCAAAAATGCTGTTATTTCGGAATTTCTGAGTTTGTTATTGCATAGCCATTCGGTACATTGTTGAGATCATCATCATTTGGTCAGGAGAAAAATTTAGAGGGGGATATCTTACTCTGGGGCACTTCTTTCCCAATACCCCAGATGAGAGCCCATCTTAAATACAGCAGTAGAGTTGGGGACCTACCGTATAGTGTTGTCCATGCGGGATACAGTGAGGTAGGCCGCCAAGTTGGCTGTGTAGGATGAGCACACGATCAGGGTAAAGAGCCACCAGCTGCCCATCACAATCCGCAAGGCCACCGAGCCCACCGCAGAGTCTCCACCTGGAGAGGTAGATAGCATACTTAGACCTCCAGCAAAAATGCTAATGTAGCTAACAACAGTTTAGCCATATGCAAAAGGGATTATGCTAACATGCATTTATTACTACCTGTATTGGTGTTTTGGGACTATGCTAATGTACATTCATTGCTAACAGCACCGGTGTCTTGGGATTTTCATTACTAGCTATATGGCTATGAGTGTTCCACCATCCACAGCATGACAAATCTATTTACGATTTATCTCAATGGTGGTTATGAGGTCTGAATATGCCAGGATGATGACAATGTCCAAAAAAAGTTGCATTGGTTTGAGAGTACCAATGTTCTATGGGTAGAGTGGTTTCAAATACATCAAATACATTCAACCACTGCTAATCCCTGTGGTGTCAACCAATTCATTGATGTATAGGCTAATACATACACCCAAGCTGGCATTAGTTTAACTCCTACAATGGCTGTCAAATGAAATTGTAAACAGTTACTCTACCCTTATTCAGCAAAAATTCAGATTTTTTTAGCCAGAGAAAAAGAGGCCAAGCCAGGTTTAGCTTGTCCCCATTTGAAACATCATGTCTGTCACTGGGGTAATCTCCATTGTAATCACAGTTACTATGGTTATATAGCTGCAATAAAGTAATCATTTTCCATGTTTTTTTTTTTTTTTCATTAAGGTAAAGACAATGTAAATGATCCATCAAAGGTACAAGAGTGGTTTGGTGGTCCGACTGTGTCCTTTATAAGTTTTACCCAGTTGAAAATTAAGTATTTATACCTTTTCATAACCTAATATTTTAAAACAGGACAATAAAATAAAAGAATTTCAATGGATTATGGTAGAATTATGTTCCCTGACTAAAGGTACTGAGATGTACCGTTGAGGGTCCCACCCCAGTGACATGAGGGGTACTGCCCCAGTGACAGTTTATTTCTGAAAGTGCAGTTCGCCGCACCTTCAAGATACACCATCAGAACGGGGTTCATATTTAAACCAGAAACATCTCACTCTGTAGATTATTGCAGCACTGCTGTAGGACACAAGTAGGTGTGTTTACAGATGCAGTGATGGTTATATTTTTCCAGAGTGTCCTTTTAAGTATACTGGGCCAAATTGTAGCCTACATTTGCTCCAAACGCTAAAATGCTGACAAAAGAGTCTGGTCCCCCAAATCACATACACTTGCAATGCACCTTGGCCTCAATTATTTTTTTCAATTCTGCTCATTCTAGTGAACCTACGTTAAATTAAACTGAATAATTTTCAATTTAATTGAACTCATTTCCCCTAGATACAAAAGATTTGTACATAATCCTGGCCCTGAACTCCTGAGACAACCCCCCCAAGAAACAATTGTGAGAGGAAGCCCCTTAAGGAAGGAATTAACTAATCAAAATATGATAATTACAACCCAGACATGCACCAGTGAATAATTCGTAAAAAATATGTGATTCCACATGGCTAACCTTTGTCTTCAGAGTAAGATGGAACAACTGCTGTGAAGAGCGAAACGCAGGCGCTATACTGGGCTCATTATCTAGCTCACAGATGCTAATTCCACCTGTCAAACTGAGTTCAGTAAAAGGATAAATGTCGAAAACTTGCGTTGAATTAGATGCAGAAGCCTCGCTGTGACTTGCTGTGTGGTTATGTATTCTCAGTAAGCTGAAACGGTGGCAAGCTAAGGACTAATGGGACAGCGCCCCTCCTGATTTAATCACTGGCTGTTTGGCATAAAAGCGTTCAGCGGACGTATGCCAGGCAGTAATAGATGCAGCTGGAGCATCGCGCCGTACTTGCTGAGCTAGTCATTTTATTGCATTTTGCCTTGCTTGGATCAGACCCAGAGCTTCCTTTCTTTCTCCACTCAAAGGCACCTCCAGCACACTCCTGGGTGGTTAACATGCATTAAACACCATCAGACTGCTCCACACATGTGTACCACACCCAGGAACAGACCACAATGCAGTGCCATTTTGAGCTGGAAAGCTAGACGCACATTAGAGGCGGATTGGCCCTCTGTAAAGTAAACAGCAGGGATAGTGCATCAATTATAATTAAGAAATTGCTCCTTAATGAACATAAAGAAGTCTACTCATTAGCCTGTTCATTATTAAGTGGTTATCTTACAGCTTCATTCAATTTGACCTTCTGGTACAAGTATGCCTATAATTGTTCGAAAGGAGGGGGACTCCTTTAAGGAAGGAGTAACCTGTACCTGTTAAGCTGTCTGACAGAGCTTTTCTGCCCTGTCAAAACATCCCCTGACGTCTTGATGTCACTACTAAGCCCATACGATCCTGCCGAAGGTGCCTGCAGAAGATTTGTACAGTTACCTTGCTGCATGAAGGCGCCGTACACAATCCATATAGCACTGTGCAAGGAGCTGGACATGGAGGGGGGCTGATGAGGTCCTGGAGGGTTCTGGGAGCGCAGAGACTGCATCCGGGTCAGCAGGAAGATCAGGACCCCAACCACAGGAATGGCCGCTGCAATGCAGGCCCACACGGCGAGGTCAAATGGCGCAAACAGCGAGAAGATGTTGATCTTTTCCTCAGGTTTGCGCATTAGGATCCCCACCGAGTAATCCATGTAGCGTTTGCTGAAGTCCACCACGTTCTCCCGCTCGGGCGTTATGGTGATGGCTGACACGGCCAGATCGGCCCTCTGCAGAGACAGAAACAGATTCACCTCAGTCAGCGGCAAGAGGAGTCCGAAAACCCCCCGGGACTCCCACATGGCGGAGGCCTATCTCGGTTTAAGGATTCCTAATTAATTAGACAGAAGGGGCATGATGCACCATCAGCTACTTTAAGCATAAATTTCTAATTACCCTCAGTGATTTCCATGCCAAATTGAGGTCTAAAACCTTATCATCCACCTTCTAATTGAGGTGCAAATACTAACAGAGGGATAGCAGAAAGCTACACTCATTCATGACTAATTTTACTTTGCATTCATAAACTGCCTGAGGGGACAACATCTTTCGCTCTGAAGTGCCTGAAGAACTCGCCTTGTTGATCAGTTCCCCAATCATGCCGTTCCACGAGCCATTGGGAAGCTGTGAGCCATACTTGCTGTCTGCCACCTGGTAGATGTCATATTTGAATCCCAGGATCTTGGCCAAGGCATCCAGGACATCGATGGAGAAGCCTTTGTACTTTTTGGGCTGCCCAAGAATGTTCTCTGCTACCATGACAAATGGATCCTCCTTTGGAGAGAAGATACTGATCGTTCGTCACAAACATCTTGTGCAGAATTTGCATAGTTATGACAACCACCTTGGTGTGATGTCCAAAGACTGAAGAATAGTACACCGATCAGGCGTAACGTTATGACCACCTCCTTGTTTCTACGCTCATTGTCCATTTTATCAGCTCCACTTACTCAATAGGTGCACTTTGTAGTTCTACAGTTACAGACTGTAGTCCATCTGTTTCTCTGCATACTTTGTTAGCCCCCTTTTACCCTGTTCTTCAGTGGTCAGGACCCCCATGGACCCTCACAGAGCAGGTACTATTTGGGTGGTGAATCATTCTCAGCCCTGCAGTGCTACACTGATGTGGTGGTGGTGTGTTAGTGTGTGTTGTGCTGGTACAAGTGGATCAGACACAGCAGTGCTGCTGGAGTTTTTAAACACTGTGTCCACTCACTGTCCACTCTATTAGACACTCCTACCTTGTCAGTCCACCTTACAGATGTAAAGTCAGAGACGATAGCTCATCTGCTGCACAGTTTGTGTTGGTCATCCTCTAGATTTTCATCAGTGGTCACAGGACGCTGCCCACAGGACGCTGTTGGCTGGATATTTTTGGTTGGTGGACTATTCTCAGTCCAGCAGTGACACTGAGGTATTTAAAAACTCCAGCAGCACTGCTGTGTCTGATCCACTCAGACCAGCGCAACACACACTAACACACCACCACCACGTCAGTGTTACTGCAGTGCTGAGAATGATCCACCACCCAAATAGTACCTGCTCTGTGAGGGTCCATGGGGGTCCTGACCACTGAAGAACAGGGTAAAAGGGGGCTAACAAAGTATGCAGAGAAACAGATGGACTACAGTCTGTAACTGTAGAACTACAAAGTGCACCTATATAGTAAGTGGAGCTGATAAAATGGACAATGAGCGTAGAAACAAGGAGGTGGTCATAACGTTATGCCTGATCAGTGTAATGATCGAAACTGAAAGCATTAGTTTGGACAGCATTAGAACTTATTATTTGAGATTGAAAAAATGTCTCTTACCAGCAGGGTCACCACTTTTACCGTCACCCCTTGCATGCCATTCTCAATCCGACTCTCCTTCAAGCTCCCGTTGAGGCCATGCACTGAGTCCCATGTGGCTAACTGCAAGAAATACAGATAAGGAAACAGCTCACCCAACCATCAGTCTGAATGTTTAGATAAGAGCTCTAAAATACTTTTTTTTACTCTGTTTTCTTTAGTCAGGTCCATTTCCACCCACTAGCTAGGTTCTCCCATCACATGATGCTACCAAACTGGGAAGGTAAAGGATAGCACATGCTTCCTCTAATGCCTGGATGAGACTGCTCAATATTTATGCCTTTCACGATGGTCACTATGTCAGATATAGACCATCATAGTACCATAAATTCTTGTCATGTCTCGTTTGAGAGACTGGAAACACTATAAGTTTGAGACCGATTAATCACTTGCGTAGGTTCATAGGTCATCAGGGAGGACATAGTGTCAGTCAGAAGTGCTATGTGTGATGTTGCCAGTTTTTTTTTATTCTGAAAAGAAAAAGAAAAGAAAGAAAAAACTCTTGTGGACCTGTTCTTGTGTGCCATGAAGAGGAGAGTATGGGCTGTCAATCCTTCAAAGAGAATGTGAGATAACAAATTTGTTAGCCCTTTAAATGGCCAGGGTCGAAAGTTTTATTACACCCTTTTATAACCTAAGAATAGTGTCTGTAGTTACTGAATAATAAGCTTTAGTGGGTAATGAGTCTGGGATTTTAAGGCATTAACATATTTTGAATGTATTTGTGTAACATGTTAACACATTCTTGTTTCTTGTCGTGTTTACGTATTCGCGCTAGAGAGCATTCTGTAATCCTACTGGTTAACATCAAGCAAGAGATGATGGCAGAAAAGTACATTTCTGACAGGCTAGACTTTTCGTTGGGGTGTTGTGGGGCGTTCCAGACACAACATTGTTGTTCTTCAATTATGTCGCACTACAAGACCTGTTCCTCATTCCCAAACCTCATATTTGGGCCTGGAAAAATTGTCGGCTGCGACAAAATCTTGTCAAAATGGGGCTGAATTTGTGTAGTCTGATCCCGGCATTAAAACATGTGAAACCAGCCACTGCACTGCTAATGCAACATCACTGGACAGATCAACACACTTTGAGGAGAAATCTGCTACATCACCCAACAGACACTTGCTTTGACTGGCATCGCTATGTGTGATGGGGGAGAGGGAAGACAATCCCTCCCGCCCAGAGATAGCAAGTTCATTTATGCTCACTTGGACTCCCAGTCACGGATGACTGTGGCAAAAACGGTCTTAATCTTAATCAACCTACAGGAAACGTGATGCTTTGAGAATCACAAACATCATTTCCGTCCTTCACTGTTCGTCAATGAAGCAAATTAACTGAAGCACATAACTCTTTTGTTGGCTGGGCACAATAAACCGACATCTTTCATTTTCTAGGAAGATTAATTTTAAGGATCCAGCAGATCTCAGGTTATGACAGACAAATGACACAACTCCTTCTTTTATGAACAGATATATATTTTTTTAACAAAATCACCATGGAAACCAGACTATAAAACCTTGCACTTCAAAGAAAGCCCTCGTCCCTCTGGATGTCTGGAAAACGTAGCCTGCTCTGCCCCGCAAACCAGAGGCTTGCTCACAAAAGTGCTGCCCTCCGCTGACTCGCTTCTTCCCCTGTTTCTTCCTCTATTTTAGTTGCGGCTGGTTCTCATTGTTCTATGTCTTTTTTTCTCCGTGACATGACAGGCAGTCTAATTGCAAAAGAACGAAAGCAGTCTGGGAGGCTGAAGACTGACATCTTTTCCTACTGGCCATGCCATGTTAGTGAGCTCAGCTTGATAGAGCGTGCTAAGTGCTAAAATGCTGGCTGCTATATTGGCGCTTCACAATCCCAGGCTTTGAATAATTTTCTTATTTCCCCAACCAGGTGTGTAACCCCAAACAGGTGTGTACTGCAAACACAGACCATGATACAGTCCAAAATGGCTTGCTCATCATGTGTGAGGATCGCAAGGCTTAAGTAGTTTTAAACGGATCGAGTGCGGAGTTTAATTAGATTACATTTAACCCATTAAAATAATCCATGTAAAGAAATCAATACCCAATCTCCACATTACGATACTGCAAGTGGCCCGTCTGCACTCGACATACTCAACTCTGTTAAATGATCCGATTCAGAAGATTAAGCTCTGTATGAATTCACCTCCAGAAACAAGGCATAATGAGGCTTAATCTCCAGCTCATAATAATGACACAGATTAACAACCGAGAACAGGCTAATTTAAATGCAGCACATGTATGATGTGAGTATTCTCCTTTGAGCTGTCTTGTTAGCGGTAAGTACGGATAATTCAGGCACACGGGCTCTGAATATCGCTCAGAGGTAATGAGAATGGAAAAATGAACATTTCCATTCACGTGTTTAGCCCTATGGTTAAGAACGTTTCTCTTTCTAGAAATGAAGGTGACAAAAAGGCTCATTTGCATGCCACAGAAGAACCACTGTTGATTGCCCAAAGAAAGAATAGTTCTTTAAAGAACCATTTTTGTATATCGCTGCTGTTGGAACAAAACCTCATATCTCAATTTTTGTTGTTTTTCAGTTTTTTGACAATTTGAAAACGCCTGTTGCTCTTTACATTGTGTGTAAATTTCGTGATGAATGAACCAAAAGAAATGGCCTGAAATTACTTGGAAAAATGTCTGGTTCCATTGACTTACATTAAAAATATAGTAGTTTTTTCCCATTTTGAAAAGGTTTTGTTCTGACAGCAGTGATGTGAGATGTGTGGGTGTGAAGAACCTTTTGAGTATGTAGCCTCTTTCTCTAGGCCCCATAGTGACCATTTTGAGAACAGAATTGAAACTGATGAATAATTTAAATCAACATAAATAAAATATTTACTACTCTGTAACTCTGTAAACAGATTACCTGCACTGTTAGCTTTCTGTGTGAAATATTGTGACTTTACATTGAGCTGCTAGCGAGCAATGAAGTATAAAAGCTTTCTTGATATAAAAAGTGCATGATTGCCACAACAAACACTTAAACAGTACGAACACACTTTCATAAATGTTGACTTGCTTGCTTACTTACAAAAACAAAAATCCAGCTTGCTTTTCTAAATCCTGTACATTTCCACTGAATTTGTTATATTCCATCAATGTTGATGAAAGAACAAAAATGCATAGTTCAACTTTGACTTCCAAAACAGGCAGAAATTTCATTATATGGTTGATAAGAAAAAGGGTTACAGATTGGTCCACAAAATGTAAACGTTCTGGAGCTGGGTTGCACCAGGCTTGCGTAAGTTTATACTTAAGTTTGAGCACAAAGTCTTTACTAAGTCCTTAGTTAACACAAGTTGGTGTCCCACTATACTTTTACTAAATTTGGTTGCATCACAAATCTGTAAGTCGTGTCTTAACGAGTATCAACTAACTAATGTTTAAGATTAAGTGACACTTATTAGTCCCACAACAGGGAAATTTCACCTCCACATTTAACCCATCCATGCAGTGAAACACCACATTACACGCACACTAGGGGGCAGTGAGCACACTTGCCTGCCCTATCCACAGCACCCAGGGAGCAGTTGGGGGTTAGGTGTCTTGCTGTTAGGAGTCATGTACTTTGGCTCAGGGGGTCGAACCAGTGACCTTCCGGTCACAGGGCTGGTTCCCTAACCTCCAGCCCACGACAGCCCCACAAATTAATTTGTTGAGGTGATGGAGTGTGAATGTACTGATTGGTGATCTGAGGAGTTACGGTATGGGTATGTCACTTTAACACGACTATAACATGTCCAGACCCAATCAGTAAATCAGTAAAACCATGGAAATACGATGGCAGATGTGAACAGGTTAAACCGAATAATTATCTACCACTGTCTGTTTATTCTTTAATATTTCCCTGAGAAAAGTACAAATATGTAGCTTTTTAAATGACGGTTTCTGGATAATCGACACAACAGCAGCCTCAGTTTAGACATTTGGGCAGCTGCTGAGTCTCTCTGAGCTGGAGCTGTGGGTGTTCGGTTTCATGCTTGGAGTTTAAACCAAGGCGATGATTAGAGCTGTAAGTAAAATGTGTATAGCATGTAGTTTTTAGCTTAGTTAACCAAAAAAGTAAGTAAGTAAGTAATAAAGTTTATTTATAGAGCGCTTTTTACAACCGGTGTTGTCACAAAGCAGCTTTACAAGGAAATGAGCATTACTGAAAGAAATCCGGGTCCGAGCCCCCATGAGCATCGCCAGTGGCAACAGTAGCAAGGAAAAACTCCCTAAGAGAAACAGGAAGAAACCTTGAGAGGAACCAACACTCAGAAGGGGAACCCATCCTCCTCTGGTTGACACCGGATAGTAAACATTGTTAGTATAAAGTATTATAGTACAAAAAGGTGGAGCAAACAATTAATTTGAATAGTTTAGTTCATGCAGCAGCAGCATCAGTGGGGTCAGGTTGTGGGGGTGAGGTCTGCACGGCGAGCAGTGTCACCCGAGTCACGTTTTTGGTCTTTTTGTGCTTTCTTTGTGCTTTTCGGATGGTTTCCCCAAAACTTACACCTGCTCAGGGGGAGGTGTAAATATTTAGTAACTACTAAGCTCAACGTTAAAACTAGTTTGTGGTGCAACCTGTTTTCATTTAGTAATGCATAAACCTGAACTTAGTAAACACTTACCTTACAACTAGCCTACATTTGAACTTACGCAAAGCTGGCGCAACCAGCCACTGGAGCTGGTTCTTACATTTTGTGAAGGTTCTTTAGACCATTATGAGACTGTTCCTGTTCTCTTTTTTTTAAAAAAGAAACAAAAGCAGTTCTTCTACACTCTTAAGACCGATGGGTTCTTTATTAAAGACAAACACTCAAAATTATTATTAACAAAATTATTTGAGTTAAACACTTAAAAAACCCTTTGCTTGATAAACGGGTTCTTTGCCTCATGAAGGGGTTTTTCAGATTGTTGGAGAATAAGCTGTAGATGGTTCTATATAGCACCTTTTTTGAAAAGGGTTCTAAATAGCACCAAAAAGGGTCCTTCTATTTTTATGATGTCAGGCTTGTTACAATAGAAGAACCCTCTTTGGTTCTA